TTTCCAAGAGGGCAAAGTAGTCCATCGGGGGTGGGGAAGAGAGCCTCGAGAGTGTAGGTCAGGGCGTCGGAGTGAGCGGCAGTGCCAGGCCAGAGAGGGCCTGCATGGCAAGCAACAAATGATGTGCTTGCAGTCAGAGATTGTTGGATGACCACGTGTAGCTGAACTCGGCAGTCAGTGGGCACAGTCCTGCCATCAATGCTTCACTGGCCACTGCTGACTTCACCACCTCTTATGAGCTAACTCCTTCATGCCAAGGAAGAGCCATGGCCTAGCCTGAAGGAGCAGATGGTCACTGCGTCTGGGGTATGTTATGAGAGGCAGCATAGTGGCTCCGACCCCCTGGCAGTGCTCAAGGAGCAGGAGGGGGTCATCGGGGTTCTTGAATTAGGACCATCCCTGTGCGGAGCTCAGAGCCCAAATCAGCATCAACCACGTTATGTTGAGGAATGGCAATACAGGCAGAGGGAACAGCCTCAGTGTGGACCCAGAGGTCCAAACAGCCAGTGGTTCTTGAGCAGAGTGAGACGAGTTCCAAGCCACCAACGTATTTGAGATTTTTTTCTGGAAATCACATGTACCATGGAGTATAAAGGAGAGAACTGAGAGACAGGAGCACTAGGGAGAAAACAAGATCTTAACCAATCCACTTCAAAGTTTTTTGGGGATGCATAAATCGGAGGAGAGAGAGTCTTGTTGGCTCTGTTGAGAGTCTTTCCTTCTGCAGAGATGGCCTTGCTTGGGTATTTTAGGACTTCTGTTCCCAGCTGGTGCTCAATACCATGGAGATATGCAAAGATTACAACTTTCAGGAGAATAAAATGCATTTTCTGGTTGGTTTTTACATTTTAAACACATTTAGCATTCTCTGCTGTTTGAAGAATGCTTTTAATAGAGCACAGATTCCTTCCGTCAATGGTGAGGGGCAGATTTAGGGACTGTGGCTCAGACATCCGGTGCCAACTAGCTCACAGGGATCCAAGTGTGAGAATCAAGTTGTCATCTGATGTGTAGATTTGGCAAAGGCTCAGCAAGCCTTGGAGATGGTGGTTGTAGGCTCAAGCTGTGTGGCAGGTGTGTCTGTGACTGATTCTCTGCCCTTGCTAGCAGAGTCCATCACTGGCTTCAAGTTCACCGGTCTCCCCAATTCGTCAGCCCCACCTGGGTGGAGTCAATGGACAGTTGGACCACATAAGAGTCACAGAATGTTTGTGCTGGGTGGAATGTCAAGACTCTTGGGCTGAGACATCCCCCTTAGGGGAGGATGAAATGGGGCTTCACTCATGGTCCCACAGATACTGGCAGAACCAGAATCAGAGCTGGGGTGCCCGACTCATTTGAGTGTATCTTATTTCTTTCTACCTGGCATGCCTCCTGCTGGCCTCTGCCCCCATCTACTCCCACCTGTCTCCAGCCCCAGCCCGTGGCCTGGTTCTGACATGAAGCAGTCCGCCTGCTGTCCTTGGTGGCACCTCTCTTTGCTTTGGATCTCCCCAGTGCTGGCTCTCTGCACCACTCCGCTTGCCATTTGTCGAGAAGCTGTGCACATACGCTGGGCAGTGCTCTGCTGCAGATACCAGGAGAGCCCACTGAGCCGAAGGATGGAGACCTGAACGAGCACAAGAAATCTTAGAGACTGTTTACTACAAAACATCTATCTGGGAAGGATGGAGACTCAGGCTGAGAGAAGGCAGCTCGTTTGCCCGGGTCACACTGCCAACCAAGACAGAACAAGGACTCCAGAGCCCAGGTCCTCAGATCCCCCACCTGGGCTCTCTCCGTAGGTATTTGGGTGATAAATGAGAGCAGAGTCCCCAGGGAACAGAGCAGTGGGGTGCTCAATTTGAAGGGGAGAGTTACTGTAATCTTCTGTGTCTCCAGGACCCACACTGGGACAATACAGTGTAGATGCTCAATAAACACCCAGAAAGGAGATGAAGGAAGAGGGGGAGGCGTGCCCAGCGAAGGGTCTAAGCCGTTCTTACAGGTCCTGTGTTTCTGGGCTTTGAGACAGAGGGAGAAAGACGGGGATAGGATGGGCACCAGAAACTGTCCCTCCCACAGTTACACCTACATCTGAGAAGCCAGTGATTTGTCAGGAAGGATGTTCCGGGGAGGGCACCTCAGATGACCAGAGCACGGCCCGGTTAACAGCAAAGAAAGAAGCATGTAGTGGGGGGGCAGAGGCCCAGAGTGGTGTCTCGGGGTGGGCAGACAGGAGAGCAGCCCGGCTCTCATCTCGGAAGACACAAGCTCCAAGGACACGCAGCAGAGAAGGTGCAGGGCAGACAGTTTTCAGAAAAAGCAAAATCCACCCTAGCAATGAAAGATGCCACTTCCTCAGCAATTATTAAGTGCTGATTATATGCCAAACTTCAACCTAGGGAAAGGCCTGGCACGGCCCTGCCTTTGGGCATCACTGTCTACAGGGGGAGACAACGGCAGCGCAGTGAGGTGGGGGAGGACCAAGGTGGGGGGAGCGGAGCAGAGGGGCCGCTCCCCAGGTGAAGGCAGGGCTGCCGTCCCGGCGAGGGAGGCCGGAGCAGAGGCCCAGGCTGGGGCAGGGGCCGGAGGACGTGGCTGAGGGCACCCCAGCAACAGAATGGCCATCGCAGGAGGGGGCGAGCTTGTCAGGGACAGGGTGACCAGCCATCAGGGACGTCAGAGGGCACTCCTCGGTGGGCAAGGCCAAGCCATCCGACCAACGTGCCACCGCAGTCTGAAAGTGCTCATTCTATAAGGAAGTGTGGGCAAGGATGTTGCATGGGTGGGGGCAAACCCTACAGGACAGTGACACTCACGGTGCTTGCCCAAGGACCCGAGGACTCCCTCCACCTGTTTCGAGCAGCAGTCACCCGCTCGGAAAAGTGGGAACCTGTCGCACACCTGGACCTGCCAGGCTGGGGACTGCACGCGTGGCCTGTACGCGTGGAGCTGAGGCCCCACAGTGGCGGCAGGGCCGTCCCAGTGGTGGCCTGATGAGGCTCCTGGCGGATGGGCCGCGGCCACGGGGGGCATCTGCCCAGTGGAGCCAGCCCCTTACGTGGCTGCTATTTCTGCTCAGAAGCCACCTCGCTCCTTGTGAAGAAGACCCTTCTGTGAGGGGGACGTGGACGGAGATGGTCTCCCGTGTAAATCGTGACACCGGATCAAACCAGCTCGGTGGGGGATCCCTGGAGGGCTCAGTGGTTTAGCGCCTGCCTTTGGTCCAGGGTGTGACTCCTGAGTCCCAGGATCGAGTCCCACGTCAGGATCCCTGCCTGCAGCCTGCTTCTCCCTCTGCCTGTGTCTCTGCCTCTCTCTCTGGGTCTCTCATGACTAAATAAATAAAATCTTTAAAAAATCCCAAAAAACCAGCTCGGTGGCTGACCCGCTGGGGTGGGAGGGCTGCTGCGTCTGCTCGGAGGCCTACCTGCTCCTCTCAGGGGAAGCACCTGGACGGGAGGAGGGACACCCATGTCGTACCCCGGGTGGCACAGGGTCAGAGTTAGGAGGACCCTGGGACAGCCCCGCCTGCCGAGGCCTGACACCGCTGTGCGGGAGCAGGACCCTGGGCTGGGCCCTGCGATGCTTCCTGCGTCCCGCTGGTCTGTGAAGCCAAAAGGCTGGGCACCCAGCCAGCACCTGCCACTCGGGACCGCCGTGGCGGCTGATCTGGCCAGACCGCTCACCCTCATGGCTCTACTCAGATCCCACCTGCCCTCACCAGCCACTCCGCCCTGTCACTCGTCCTCCCCACCGGCTCGGCTGGCGAGCTTCACGCACCCGTGCCTCAGATTACGTCCCCCTGGCCTTGGCTCCAGAGTGTGCAAGGCAGGAACCGCAGATAGTGCTGAGCCTGGTACACGCTGCTCACGAAGCTCAGACCACCTGTCGGGCCAGGGGGACCCCCGGGGGAGATCTAACACAGCACCGCCCCCCTTTCTGTGGCCTGAGTGAACCCCACAGCCAGGACCAAGGCCCTCAAGCCGTCCAGTCCGGGGAGCCTGTAAAAATGCAAACCAGACAAGTATTCCTCTGGTCAAACCCTCCCGGGGCTTCCGAGTTCCTACTACTGGACCCCAACTGCCACGACCGGAAGCCCCTCGGAGAGCTGGCTCCTGGCTGCGCTCCCACCGGAGCTCCTGCTGCCTCAGCCTGCCCTCCCGCCCTCCCGGGCTCCCAGCCTGGCCCTGTCGCTGCCCCCCGCTCCCCGCTGTCACGGATCCCTCCGGTCCTTGAGCTGGAACACATACAGGGGTTGTGATGGGGACTTCGACTCCCGCCGAGTGGGAGCCGGTGGGGCTGGGCCCTCTTGTGCTCCCTGCTGGACCCCAGTGCCCACAGCAGCGCCGGGGCCTCGGAGGCTCTCGTGCTTCCTGAATAAATGAGTGGGTGACAGGAGTGATGCAGCAAGTGCGCGGGGCCGGGAGACACCGGCCGCCCCTGGACTCGCGGCTGACTTGCAAACGGCCCGGGAGCAGAGCCTCTGGGGCAGCAGACTGGACGCTCCACGGACTGACCCGGGCCCAGGGCTCAAGGGTAACTTCAGAGCCCAACTTCAGCTCTGGGGGTTCCCCCCAAGACCTAAGGGAACTGGCCTGTTCGAAAATAACACAACAGGAAGCCCGAGCTTTGTCAGGTAAGACGACATCCTGGATGCTCCTGCCACTGGCAATCAGGAAGGCGCGCTTTGGAAGTCAAAGTGGGCAAGTGCAATCGGCCGGGCCCGTCTCCAGATCCGGAACATGGGACCCTCCCGGGCAGGCCCTGCACCCCATCTCCTTTTCTCCACCCCCTCTTCAGCTTCTAAGAAAGATCAACAGTGAACGGACAAACAGTGAGGGAGATTCACCGCTTGGCACGTCTGGATTGGAGGGAAACAGCCAAGCCAACGCGGGTCTGCGACCCCTGCGGTCGGCCCCAGGGACCTGGCGTCCAGGGTGCCCACATCGAGTTGCCCCGAAATACAGCCCCTCTCACCCATCAGCAGACGCTCAACACAAGGCATGGGACGTGTCTTTATTAAAGATGCAAGCAAGCACAGACGTATCATGTGTGGTGCTCAGTAATATCCATACAGTACTAAAAATAGAAAAATAGAAAAGAAATTTCACAGAAAGCAGCCTCCCTGACAGATACACAGAAAAGGTGCTGCCAAGCCCACCATGCGATGCTGCATGCCACCTGCCCTGTTCAAGCTGCTCCTTTACAAATAAAACACGGGCGCGTTTCCGCACCTTTTCCAAGACAGCAACGCAGCACGGAGACCCTCACACAGCGGCGACCCTCCCGCCACGTAAAGATCCAGGACAACACCAGTCCCACCAGCGCGGCGACACGCATCTGAACTAGCTGCCGGCCCTGCTGCTACCTGGCCGGGTCTCGATGCTTCTCCAGCCAAATGGGGGCCACACAGTGGAGCAAGGTTAAGACACCCCCTCTGCTCCCTCAGGTACACCGAGGTACAAAGGTAAGATGGCCAACCAGTCCGAGCGAAAGAGGGCGTCACACCCGCCAAATGGTTCTCCCGTGGCCAAGAGCCGCAGGTACAGACGGAAACACCGAATGGTGATCAAGTCTCAGGAACTTACTGTCAAGCATCTGCTTGCCTGCAGAAATGGGTTTCTGCCTCAGGGAAGAAGAGCTCGAGCGGAATGAGAACTCAGATTCCGCACAGGCTCAGGGGCAGCTTCTTCGGTCACTGCATTAGAGCCCGTGTGCTGGCCTCACCGGACAGGTTCCCTCAGGGAATGTTCCACAGGTTCCTCGGGACTGGGCCTTTGAGGCCGCCCGCTGGGAGTCGCCAGAGGGGTGTCCTTTCTGCAAATGCCTAGCGGGCAGTCTCTGCTTTGTTCAGGAAGGTTACAAAGAACTGAACTCATCAAAAGGAACCAGCGCCCCCCACCCTACTCATCCTGTGTCCTCACCCACATCCCGGGCCACGTGAGAACAGAAGGTCTGTGCCTTGCAGAACAAAACTACAAAAATAAAAGAGTCAGCCCTGAGATCTCTCTACCATTCGGGTGTGGCTCGCTCCTGAGTCCCCTCGGAAATGAACTTTTATTTGGTTTACTGACATTTATTTAGATTTCCAGTGAAAAGCTCTATAAAATACAATAAATAATGTGGGGTTGTAAAAGGTAGACATTCTAGCTGCATATGTTACAGACTTTATACTGATGATACGGGCCATCAGAACTGCGCTCTTTACCACGTTTGTAATCAGACATGTAGAGACTTCCAATCCCCAAGGCAAGACAGCTGCTGTGGGTCGGAAGCAGGGCCCCTCTCCCTCCGGCGTCTCGGCTGCTTCCCTCCCTCCCCCAGGCCTCACTGCTTCCGGAGTTCGTCCAGCAGGGAACAAATGAGTGCATACGGGACTTTTAGCTAGTAGAGTGTCTGGGTATTGTGAGCATGCAAGTTTGCTGTTGCTGTTATTATAAATAAAAGTCAAACGTGAGGTCACACTTTCCCATCTTCTGTTTATACACCAAGTCAAACTTCTCGTTCATGGAGACGGTGAAGATGTCCTTCCACAGCCCGACTCTTCCTGGAACACAAACGAGAGCAGAATTTGCTGAATTCACTTGCTGTCGGGCCAGACACTGAACCAAAGGAAGCCTTGGAAGTGGTTCTAGAAGGTTCCAGATCTATCCCCAGATCCCTCTGACCTTGGCCTATGGACAGGACAGGCCACCTGAACCATGGACGAGCTGAGCTCGTTTCCCTAAGTCTGGTTGTTGAGGTGTCCCTTCCCTGCCGTGTGAGCCCAGCAGCACAAGTATGCAGAGCTGAGGCTCCCGAGCGAGGAGGGCCTCTGCTCTGTTCCCTGGTGTGTCGCTGGCACCCAGGCATGCGGAGGGTGATTCATGACACCCCAGAGGATGGACCCTGTCTGTAGAATGGATCTACAGCTCTGGGCATCATGTGCACTGGGGTCCTCCCTGATATCATTACTCACTCACGACTCAACAGCTCCACCAAGGCGGCATTTGGTTCTGGAGAATTTGAAAAGGAAAAACAACAACAAAAAATCATCCAAAAAGGCAGAAACCTTTTATGGTGAGTAGGATGCCTTCTGACCGGGTCAAGGGTGAAGATTTTGAGAAGCATGCCCATGCAGCCTTAGGGAGGAATTTAAAGGGAGCAGAAGAGTCACATTGTAAACCGGCTTTTGGCAACTAGATGCCAGAGGTGCTCTTGGCTGACTCAACCCCCATGTCAGTGAGTCCGGGCCGAGGCCCAGCTGCAATGCGCAGCTTCAGCTCAGGGGGGCTCGCCCAAAACAGACACCTCTCCGGGCTGACATGCAGGAGCCTGGGGCCTGCGGACTAATGAGGGGGCACGGGCTACCTGTTCACTTAGGAAGGCTTAGCAGGGAAAGTCAGCTAAGGATGCCCGAGGCCACCAGACCCACTTTTCTTGTAACTACAAAGCCTTCAGATGGTCTGGTCAGACACGAGTGGCGCCCAGGAGGATGTCAGGAGCGGGGGTTCCGAGCCCCCAGCTCCAGGAGCAGTGAAGACCATCCCCCGAGCGTCGCCACTGGGCTTTTAACAGCCTCAGGGGACTGAAATGGTCGATTCGGATTCCTTCCCAGTCAGCATCTCTGAGGTCAGAGCCCAGGCTGTCTGCAGCAAATATCCTTCATTAGGTCCCTTATTAACAGAAGTTCTTGTCCCGGCAAGACCTCAAGTATGAAACTGCAACCCCGCAAACGCTGAGCCACCAGATCTAATGTGCCAACAGCTTCCTCTCTGGTAATGAAAAACTATGTCGGTGTCAGAGAGGGAAAAAAAAATATCCAAGAAGAGAAATTGTTCTTGCTACCCTCTAATGAGACCTCAGGGACAAAATGAGAAGCTTCTAGACCAACCACACTATAAATATATTTTTCCCTGATTATTTTTCTCAGCTGAGAGCTCATCAAAGGAGTCACCCACCTGGTTTAGGGTTTGGAATCAAGACAGTGCAATTTATGCTGTGATATGAATCAAATCTAAGCAATGCAGCTGGCTACTCCAGCCCTGCGTTCTCACCAACGCAAGGAGGTCTTCTGAGCAAAGAGGCAATGTGCTAAAAGAAAACAAAATCAAAGAACTGAAATAAAGCAAAACCAAGGTAAACAATGATAAAGCAAACACATCAGAAGGAGCATATGGGCACGCAGTATGTTCTCGACACTTCTTTACCACGCAAATGAACCAAAAGGGGTATTTTGGAGAGAAGGTCACATCCAAGGATAACAAAACACAGCAAAAGCAAAACTAAAAAATAGCAAATAAATTTTAAATAATAAATATTTGTGAAGATGCAGCCAGGAAATCACTGGTGAGGTGCCGTGGTCTCATTGGATTGCTCGCCCCCTGACCTTCGGAACCGCCCCATCAGCCAGATAGCCGCCCCCACCAGCCCCTTGGTAGAGAAGAGCACTTTCTAGAGAGGAGCTGGAGAAGCTCCCGAGGCCCCCCACCCCGGGACACGGGGCCCGGCCCCGCCCACCAGTTCAGGCTGCGGGCTCCAGCGGCACCTCCGGCCCGGTGCCTCGAACACTCTGCTGCCTGAGGAAGCTCTGAATCCACACAGCTGGGAGCCAACGGCAGGTCCACAACACCGAGTGTCACAGAGAACCCGTACTTGCCAAGAGGGCGTTTATGTGGCCACGGCCACCACCTAGGGGTCGGGCTATTCTAAGGCCTGATGCTCCACAGTCAAGACGTTTTGAGTGTCCCAAGCCTTGAAGGACGGACAGCACTCCAGGCAGATCCGCAGGGGCTCCTGCCTGGCCTACGTCCCTGCCTCAAAGGGCCTCATGCGCAGGAGAAGCGAGGGCCGGCCTCCTTGGGAGCAGCCCTGGGGCAGCCCTGCGACAGGCCACCCCGGCGCTGGACCCACCGTGCGAGCACAGGGGAGCGGCAGCGCCGGGCGTGGGGCCACGAAGCTCCCCAGCCCCAGCCCCAGGCTGTGCCCCGAGGGGCTGTCTGGGAGGGGGCCTGCTTGAAACAACTTGCCAACGAAATCCCAGCTGTCACCCCGTGTGCCCCACGAGGCCACTTGCACAGCCGCAGGTGCAGTCCTGGCCACGGGGCCTCCACACGGCTCTTGGAGGACCTTCCTGCCCTCACGGAGCAGAGAGCCCTGGGGAAACTGGGCCCAGGGCAGGGAATGCTGCTGTGGGGGCCCCAGGCAGCAGTAGGGGAGGGGGGCAGGGCGCGTACCCCGGCCCACTGGCAGGGCCTCGGCGTTGCAGCACTGGTCCACTAGCTGGTGGCAGTGCTCGCTCAGGGCCTCCAGCTGCGCCTTGTCACAGGACACCCCCAGGAATCTGGCCAGCTGCTCCACCATCGTCACCAGGTCCTGGAACACAAGAGCAGAGAGAGGAGCCTGTCAGAGGAGGCGCCTCTGCCGACCCGAGACTCTCGGCTGGTCTCTCGCCAGGTACTCTGCACACACTTCCTTACTGGGTCCTGGAGACGAGCCTGATAGTGGTCTTGTCTGGAAATAAACTCAGGTTAAAAAATTGCCCCCAGGCACTCAGCTCTCAAATGGCAGGGCTGGAATTCAGACCCCAGGCCTCTGGGGGACTTGCAGCAGATGTGAGGTCTTGAGAGCACTGTGGTCATTTTAAAACAGCCGTAAGACGTAAAAATTCACTTACGAACTGTGCCAGGACCCAGACCGGCTCACTCTCTCCTTCCTCTTCCTTCCATGCAGTCAGCTGGAAAAGCAAGGAGGCCCCTGGGACCCCACACAGGCCCCAGGGCCAGCCTACCTCAGCCGGCAGGAGGAGCTGACTTGCTGGGAGGATTCAGTTACGCTGGACTCGACGGACATAAAGCCATGTCTGGACCCTGACACCCCACCCTTCAGGATAGTGGGAGCATAAGGGACACAGCCTGAGTCTCAGGAGGGGCACACACCTGCTCACCACACACAGCCCTTCCCCAATGCTGCTCTTTTCCCTGGGAACTACCAAGGCGCCTCATATTCTCAATCTGTGCGTGGCTAAATGTTGTGCCCAGAACCCTGACCTGCCACCAGGCAGTCCCCCAATTCTGGCAACATCCAGGTTCCACTCAGGGAAACACTGGAGGCTGTTGCCTCCTTGGTGGTTTATAAAGCAGCTAGCAGAGTAAAGCCCCTGAGAAGTCCTATGATAAAGTCCTATGATAAAGAAACCCATTTAATTTCTTTGCTGTGGTAATTTGCAAACCTTAAAAAAAAAAAAGTTCTGGGAGAGCTGAAGGTTCTGGGGATTGAGTGTCGGCTTCTCTCTGGATTCCCTCGGTAATTACCACTGGGCTCTGCGCCCCGCTTTTGCAGCTGTCCCCGCTCAGGGGCTCCCACCGGGCAGAGGCAGAGGCGTAGGTGCTCGGCTCTAATCCCTGGGCACATGGTTGGCCAGGATCAGAAGTGCCAGAAATGTTAAGATAAAAAGGAAGAGAAAGAGTTCCTCTCGCTTGCCCTGTCACCCAGTATCTGTAATTGAAAGTAAAAAAGCAGCAGCAGAGATCGAAGACACCGGCCCTCAGAGAGGACGGCACAGGAGAGGGACCCAGACTGCTAGAGCAGCCAACGGAACCCTAATGGGGACAACACACCACTGGTGTAACATCCACCCGGGGAGGAAGGCACATTCACCAGCGTGTGCCCAGTGTAGCTCCGGGCAGCTTGCAGGACCTCTCGAGCTTCACAGCTCCAGCCCCAGCACAGCCACCTGGTCACAGTCAAGACTCACCTGTGGCTGGCAAAAATACCTCACGGGGGACCGCAGGCTTTGTGGGGTGACACACCGGGGCAGTCCACAGCACAGGGTGAGATGTAGGAGCTCCTGGGGGAATGTACCGCCGGGGGTGGGGGGGGCAGGGAGACAGCAAGAGCGCAGGTGCTAAGTACTATCATCTAGCCCCAAGGTGAGAACGTGCCAAGCCTGTTCACACTCCTGGAGACCAGTGATGTTCACTTGGGCGCTATTTTTTTGGAATAAAATGTAAACAATGTGAATTCCTAAAAATGGGACGTACAGTCACTTCATCTCTATTAAACACATCCAGGCCCTTACCGAGGTTTCTGGAAAAAGAGTCAACAATTAGAAATGATGACCTTGACCACAAGAAATGCCATTTGGTCCCTTTGGCATTGGAAGCAATGGTCCAGGCGGAGACAGGTGCAGGTGGGGCTGGCGGTCTGGATTTCAATCAAAAGCAGCTGGTCTAAATTTTTCCCTGAGGGGCCTAGTAAGGCAGAGAGTGAACACTCACCTTTAACCGCCTGGCCTGAACCCAGAGGAGGCAGGCACAAACCTGTGTTTTAGCTACGGAGCCTACATAAAGGTGGCATCCCACTCCGGCGTGCTTTAGTAACTACAACAGCCAATTCTCCTGCAGCTCTGGGAAGAAGCTGGTCTCCGGGCCCCTGGTCCCTGCAGCTGTCTGCAGCTGCACAAGCTTCTTCCACACCAGGCCTGCAGCCCGGGAGTGCACAAGGCATAATGTAAGCAGCGGAGCCGCACGCCCAGCCTCAGCACACCCACCCCGGGTAGGCACCCAGGGAAAAAGCAAGCTTACGTCCACCAAGATGTGAGAATGTTCACAGCAATCCACTCATAACCACTCCAAACAGCAACACTGAGGGACTGATACGCAGTGGCGATTCCTGCTGCAATGGAACAAATACCACGGGGACAGGAGAACCACCCTGCCACACAAAGCACACGAACCTCAAGACGCTACACTGAGCAAAAGCAGCCAGATGTCAGCGCGCACACCCAGGTGCCCATTCCTGGGAGGTTCAAAAACAAGCGCAACTAATCTGAACCAGCAGAGGTCAGAAGAGTGGTCGCCTCTGGGAAGCAGAGGTGTTAACCAGAAAAGGCCAGAATGTTCTGGATCTCGATCTGGATGACGATCTGGATGACAGGCAGATGTGTGCTTCTAAGAAGTCTAGCAAGTCTTGCGGTCTGTACACCTGACCTCAAGTGTGCGCTGCAGCTCCCTGACGGGTGGGAAGAACAGGGACAGATGCTTGCTGAGGGCCCACCAACTGCCAGGCCCGCCCGCGTCAGGCCCTGTTTCAAGATGATGCCTCCCGATCCTCCGTCTCATCTCCCGGCTTACAGGGCCCACACGGGTCCCAAGGTGAGATGTCCACTTCCAACACCAGGTCAGCCCCTGCACACTGCCGGGGTCTGGGAGCCCCATGGTGGCCTTGCTCACATGCCTGTCAGTCAGGCAGGGCTGGCGGCTGGGCCACCTATTCTCCTCCCCATGGCGTCCCTGTGTGTTCGGCAAGGGCCAGCCCCAGCACGCGGGCCCCCCAGCCCCTGCTTGCAGCGTACCTATCCAGGTCTCCAAACTCCCGTGGCCCGGCCCGGCGTCCGTGTGGGAGGCTGCATGACACAGGCAGCACAGGCAGGACTCACGGGGGGTCCCAAACCACTCGTCCCCTTTCTGAGCTTGGGTCATGTGGTCTGCTGCTCACGGAACCCCTGCTTGGCCTTACAGTCCCCGCACACTTAGCAAGGCCTAAAGTGAGCTCTCCGTCTTCACGCAGAGCCTGCTCTTCCTTCCGTGTTTCCCAGCGGATCTCCAGTATGATCGAGTCCAAATTCCACCCCAGGCCCTGCTGACCTTGCCCAGCGTCACCGGGTCCCCACTCCTACCACCAGGAACCACGGGGACTCTCCCGGACCCAACAGGTAGATGAACGCCTTCACCTGGGCCACCGCCTCGGTCAGGACGCCAGGCTGCTCAGCCTGGTGCCGTCCTCCCTGCCCGCTCACCACCACCAACTGCAGGGAGCGGTCAGGGCCCCGGCAAGGAGCCGGACTAGGCCCTGCTCCCCCACCACCGGTCCCACAGCTCCCCGGGCCCCTGGCTTCCTAATAGGGAGAAAGGGCTCCTAAGGTGAAGCCATCCATTCGACCTGCAGACACTCCCTGAGAATCTGTTCTGCGTCAGGCTCGGACTTAAAAGCATAAATAGGCCCCCAGACTCCCAGCCCCTGTGGAGCTTATTCTGGTGGAGGGGACAGTGAGCAAAACACAGACACAAAGGATAAAATATGGGACGGGATGGTAGATGCTGAGGAGAAAAATGATGTGGAAAAGAGAAGTGCTGGGAGCAGAGGGGCCGATTTCAAGTGGGGACCAGGGGAAGGGTCACTGACAGGAGCCAAGACCCGGATGAAGTGAGGAAGTGACCCGTGCGGACACCGGAGGGGAGGAACATTCCAGGCAAGGCCACGTATAGGTCCTAAAACAGAAGGCCACGCACCAGCTGAAGGAATGGCAAGCAGGCCAGCGTGGAGCCGGACGCCTGGGCACTGGGCCACCAAGTGGGCCCTGACCTGCACCCAGAGCAACGTGCAGCCAGAAGGGGTGCGATCTGACCGGCGTGGGCACCAGCGGAGCAGCCGAGGCACAGTGCACAGGCCTCAGGGGACGCAGGGAGAACACCCAGGAGTCCACGCGAGCGATGATCCAGGCCTGAAGCGATGCTGACCCGGACCATGGAGACTGCAGGACACATGGTCAGATGAGGGAGTATTTTGAAGACAGAAGCTGCAGGATTGGGAAGATGGACACAGGGTGTGAGAGGAAGTCAGAAGTCGAGGATGATTCTTGATTTTCGCCTGAGTGACACAGACAGGCTTGGCTGCCATGACCTCACATGGAGGAGCTATGGAGGATGTGAGGGGAAACCTCTAGCTTGGTTTAGACACGCCGAGTTCACAGCCTCCCCCAGAGGCTCATGGGGAAAGGTGCAGGGGGTGCCAGTGGAGGGCGAGTCTGGGGAGGGGCCACATCTGGCCTGGGGTCACCAGGAAAGGGCGAGGATGGGACAAGAGCCATGGCCTGAGGGCTGGGCTGCTACCATGGAGCACCCACGAGACAGCAGCCGGGGACGCAGGACCGTGTGGTGTCCCGAGTGCAGGAGGAGGCCAGGTGGGATGACGTGAACACTGCCCGCCAGACTGAGCAACATGGAGCGGCCCTGGCGCTGCACCTTGGGGGGAATGGGGCGAAACCGGCCAGAGTAGGCTCAGGAGGGGACAACTCCGCAGGGACTGACAGCAAAGTGGAGCAGAGGCCCCAGAGACGGAAGGCACACGGGGAAGGCTTGTCTTTTGTCTGTCGTAAAAAAGGGGAAACCTGACAATGTCCCTCCAGAGATGCTCCAGCCCCAGCAGAGAGGGTAAAAGGCTCCTAGAACTAAGTGAACCAACACACGCACAAAGAACTTCAGACAGGACTCAGCACACAGTACCTACGGCCCTCAAAAGTGCTAAGGGCAGTGACGCTGTGGCGTGTGGCCTGTGTGGCCGGTGGGCCCCTTCACATGGTGAGGTCTCCAGGGCTCAAGCAACGTCCTGCCTTCAACTGCTCCAACAGCACGGCCGAGCCTGGAACGTTCAGGCGACAGCCACCTCATGCCATTCCCTCCCCCAAGCCCCACACCACGCACTGACGAACATGCCCTGTGTGAACAGCCTGATGCTGCTGCTGTAAGGCCAACAGGCTGAGAAGAGAAAATCGGACCCTGCCACCTCAGCCCTTAGCCTTGGCGCCTGGAGCAGGGTCCCTCCTGGGCCAGCACAGCCCGAAGGCCACAGCACCAGCCCGGGAGCACTGTGGGCACACCTGGAACTTCAGACTCCTTTCTCTGGAAGCCGGGGGATCTGGGAGAGGCTGTGCCGCACAGGCTCCTGCATTGGAGCTCAGAGCCGGGGCGCTGGCCCGCACCCCTGCCCCCTGAAGCACTCACCCGGTGCATGTCTTCATACTTGAGGAAAAGCACATTCGAGTCCATGCGGTGCTCCCAGAACTCCTGCACGTGCTCAAACCAGGAGCCATAGCCTACTGTGGAGACAAGGGGACAGGTGAGTCACAGCCTGGGGGGAATAAACATGCATAAGTGGGGTGGCCTGGCCCCTGCCTTCTGGAAGGCTCCCCTCTTATGGCCCAGGAGCTGTGGTTCAGGAAGAGAGAAACAAGCTCTCGGCTCCAGGGGCATCCCACAGAGGAGCCCCTCCTCAAGTCCCACGTCCCTTAGGCTTCGTGTGCAAGTCTCTCCTGCCACGAGTTCCCAGCCTCCCTCCTGCCCCCACCTCCTGGACGCCTTGAAGACCTGGCCACTGGGCAAAGGCCTCTGCTCACGTGGGGGATGGATGCTACTGGCACCCAAAAGTTTCTGTTTGATATGTGGTCACTGGGAAGAGCTCGACGCCTAGTGGAACTGAGACATAGGGCCAGTTGCTGCTGCCAGCGAAGGTGTGGGAGGCGCTGAGACTGGAGCATGAGGCCCTGCCAGGCAAGAGGCCTCAACGCTGAATAGAAGAAATGAAGACAGGCAGCAGGCTCCGTCCTGACGCACGAGGCTCACACCCCTCACCACAGCCCCTGCACTCCCTACGCTCCTCAGGGCTTTGGTTTGGGGTGAGGGTCACAGGGGCAGGTGGGGGATGTGCCAATCCGCATAGCCAGGCCGCTTCAAAACGTTCTTTATAAGAACTAAAGATTCTCACCCAGCTACTCACACAGAGATGAGACTTCCAAGGGGGCTTCTGCATTAAACAGAGGAAGGCCTCTGCCAGAGAATGTCTGGCCCCACCGGCCACCAGCAAGCAGCCCAGCTGCATACCAGGTGCCAGCCAGGAGTGGTGGCCCTGCTGCCCTCACCCCTGCTCACCTGGGTGCCTGTCCACCTCACAAACATTGGGCCCATGGATCCCCCTTCACAGTCGGGCTCGAGAAGTTCCTGGCCCAGGGGGAATCTCCAAGGACACAGGTGGTGAGGATATGGAGTGACCACTGCTGGGAGGGGGGCACAGAGGGCCACCCCACGTGAAAACAAACCCTGAAGCGTGCACAACAATTGCAGATGGGCTTGACGGTGTAAGGAACACGGGGCCATCAAGGTGGCTGGGAGCACAGTGCCCAGGTCAGACGGACAGAGGGAGCACAGCAGAACGGCAAAGGACACAGCCTCTGCGTTCTGCACTGGCCGTGTGACCTGGACAGGCTGCTTCAGGTTCTGGAGCCTCGACCTCCTCAAGGGGAGTGACACAGAACCTGCCTCTCGGAGTGGCCGGGCGCGGCGAGAGCGCATGGGCCTGCGGAGGGAAGCGCGAGCTCCGTCCCCTCTGGCAGGACTCTGGTCCCCCTCTGGGTCCCAAGGGGTGGGGTGGCGGGGTGGCAGGGGACTGCTGCTGCCGCTGCCAGGGCCACACCTCAAGCAGAAAACGCAGCCTCCAAGAAGCTTGTAGACTTAAACACCTGACGGAGGCTGGGAAAACCCAAGACCACCACCGGCCGCCTGCCTGCGCCGCCTGCCGTCTCGCCAGCAGGTGGCAGCACCGCAGCAGCCTGGCCCCACAGCCCAAGGGAGGCGCCGAGGCTGCCCTAAAGGCGGGATCTCAGCAGAAAGGGCCCTGCAGCCCAACCAGACCCCAGCCTGCATTTTACGAGGAAGGAAGCAGGGGTTCTGGCACGGTCCGGGGACAGAGGCAGAAACGACAGAACAGAAGGGACAGGGATTCAGCCAAAAGGCCTGGTTTGGGACCCACCGAGGGGTAAATCCTGGCCTGCGAGGGCCTCGGTCTCCTCACTGAAGAGGTCTAGCTGCTGGGCCTGGGGTCCCCCTCACTCCAAACACCCTGGGGGGCCCTCCTTCCCACTGGAGGGAAGACAAGGCGGAGACCAGAGAAGGCGATGAGGACCCACTCACTGACAGGCTAATGGTCACGGGGGCCCCGAGAAGAGAACCGGCCTCCTGAGTCGGGGCCCAAGCTGGCACGCAGTCCAGGTGACCTGAGCCCTGGGACAGAGCAGGAGTCCAACAGCCATGAACACACAGGCTAAGAAAACCCCGTCGTTCCAAGGGGCTGCGTGAGAAAATTTGCAGAACAGGCAAGCAGAGCCCACAGGGGACACCATGGGGGCTGAGCAGGAGGGGTGACATGGGGACAGTGAGGGCTGAGGAGAGCGGTCACTGCACACGAGAACACAGGTGGTGGAGACAGGGAGGCATGGGGATGGTGGTCACTCACACAGGGTCGGTGATCACAAGGACAGCACGTGCCTGCGTCTCTCCAAGCTCTGGTTAGCAGGTGCAGAGAGGGGTACCGACCTTGCTGGCAGGGACACCGCCTTTCCCACTCAGGATGTGTCACCCTGGGAAGGCACCCCCTGCCGCTGCCCACCTGGGTCCCTCTGCTCCTGGAGCCCAGTGTGCTTACCCCAGCAGATGATCTGAGGGACCAGCGGCCCACCCTGCCTACAGGGCGAGTCTTCCATGCTCCTGGCCCCTGGGCATGCAGCCCCAGGCACCCCCCACCCCAGTGCACAGGTCACAACACCCCATCAGCGGGTCCTCCAAGCTCACTCTATGAGTAAGGATGGCCGTGCCACTGCTCCTACACCTCATTCTTCAAATTCTTCAGAACCACAGGAGAGAATGCGAGCCTCCAGGGCCCAAGCTGCAGTACGCTGGCAGCCAACACTGGGAGACCCGAGGGGACGTGGGGGAGCTAAGTGTGCATGTCAAGAGGCTTTGGTGGGATCACGGCAAGTGTGTGTGGCCTTGGACTTCAGTGTTGGGCTGGGACCTTTAAAACATGGAGAGGCCTGAGGATGACTTGTAACCACTCTGGCCTGAGCAGGAGGTAATCTAAGACCCACACTGGGAGGCAGTCTGAACTTGGTGGCCACCTGGTCTTCCTGGGGCGCCATCCCCATGCCACTCGCTGCTTCTCTAGAGGCAGGAGAACATGCTGAGACTTAAGAACATGGTTGTGGAAGCCGCAGTGACGGCTTCCTCCGAATGCCGGGCAGACCATGAAGGGCCTGAGCCAGACGGTAGGGAGGCCGGGCGAAGGGCAGGCTGGGCAGAAGGCCTTCCAGCTCGGGGGCGGTGGGGCAGGTGCTGTGGCCTCCTCCCCTGGGCCCTCCCCCAGCACCGCTGAAGCAGATTCGGGGTGGCTCTGGCACTGAGGGCCCCGGGACCCCAGTGCACTCGTGAGGGTCGGGCCTTCCATCCCGCTCGGCCGCCTGGAGCTCATCTGGGGCACTATATTCCAGGCTTCACCCCCCTGCACCTCACCCCAGGCTGGCCACACAATCTCACTGCAGAACCTCCAACTGGGACACAACCTGGACAGCGGGGCTGAACACTAAGACTTGAGTTACAAAATAAAACAGAAAGTGTATTTTCAGACATGGGTATGGAATCGTCTCAGTCCAGATTTAATCAAAGTGCTGATGTGGCCCATCTCCGGCCTTCCGGGTGCAAGCCCTCACTGAACTCCCACTTGTGGGTCCTGGAAGGGTGCCTGGAGAAGCCACGGATGGCAGCAGGGGAGCCACCTCGGGCAGGGGCTGCTGACCCCACCGCCAAGGCCGCTGTGCAGTGGGTGTGACCCGGTCTCTTCCTGCCCCGAGGAGGGGAGATGCAGAAGGGCCCTGGGAAGCTGCCTCCCAGCCCCACACCTGCTGCAGATCACTGCCTGGCCCCTCACCCAAAGCACACCTTGCCCATCATTCAGCCCGGGGCTGGGGGCCACGTCTCCGGGCCTCTGTCACCAAGAACAGAATTATCCAGGCCTCTGCTTTTGCTGTCTGAAATCCAGGCAGGAAGAGGAATGCTTCTGACTGGGGAACGTTTCAGGACCCCAATGATGCAGATGAGAGAGAAGGGCTTCCGACTTGGACGCCCGCTCTGCTGCACCCTGGCCACGACCCTTGACGGGCTTCCAGTCACCCCGCAGCCCTGCTCCTCCACCCAACAGCGGGAAAACAGGCCCAACCTGCGTGGTCATCACAGGACTTGTGGGGAATGTGGGCAAAGTGCAAGGACACACAGGGGTTCAGTGAACGAGCTGTCCGTGCAGCCTGAGACACTTACGCTTGTCGTTCATAAATCGCCGGCAGAACTCCTGGAAGGTGCCTCGGTAGCTCATGGTCCGCAGGGAGCGGTGGAACTGGTAGTAGGACACCACCAGGTCCTTGGGGTTCCGAGCCATGTATATGACCTGTGGCGGGACGGAGGGACGGCTGAGGGGCTGCTCCTCCAACCCACTCTGAACGGACGACCCACCTCCAGCCCTGAGGTCAACCCCGAGGTCAGCCCCCAGGTCAGCCCCAGATGTGCACGGCTTCGGCTCCAGCAGAGGCTCACCCTCCTCCGTGCAACAGCATCTGGTGGAACCGTGCCTGAGTGTGTTACTACATTTCTGTCCTACACCGCGACTTTACAATGAGTGGGACACAGAAACAGGTGGGTCCTGACATCGGTGATGAGAATTAGAGGCCTCATCACACTGAGAAAATGAGAAGAACCAGAGACCATGAAAGCAGCGCTGGGTCCTCAGGCTAACACAGGAGCAGACGTTGGACTAAGGCTAGTCAAGCCCAAGTTCGACTGTAAGGAAAAACCCAAATTAGAAACATGGACAAGGGATACCCGGGTGGCTCAGGGGTTGAGCGTCTGCCTTTGGCTCAGGGTGTGGCCCCGGGTCCCGGGATTGAGTCCCGGGTCGGGCTCCCTGCGTGGAGCCTGCTTCTCCCTCTGCCTGTGTCTCTGCCTTGCTCTCAAATAAATAGGTAGGTAAGTAGGTAGATAGATAAATAAATAAATATTTTTTTAAAAAAAGGAAACATGGACAAAAGGCCATACAAGCTCAGGGACGGCCTCTGCTGGGTCTTCGCACACCTGTGCCTTGAGGAGCTCAGGATGGTTGCCCAGAGCACCGCTGGGCTGGCTCTGCCTGTCGGGAGCTCTGCCAAAGGGGGGCGGGGAGTGGGGTTACCTTAGAATCGCCGTTGTGGAGATCAGAGGGCAGGAAGCGGTAGGGAAGGTGGCTTTTGATGAGGCGGGGAGACGTCAGCTCCTGCAAAGGGTCAGAGGGAGAGGCATTCAGAGGACATGCAGCTGCTCACTTACCTCAGGGCCTTTCTTTCTTTTTTTTTTTTATTTATGATAGTCACAGAGAGAGAGAGAGAGAGGCACAGACACAGGCAGAGGGAGAAACAGGCTCCATGCACCGGGAGCCTGACGTGGGATTTGATCCCGGGTCTCCAGGATCGCGCCCTGGGCCAAAGGCAGGCGCCAAACCCCTGCGCCACCCAGGGATCCCTCTCAGAGCCTTTCTAAGGGTCAAGACCCGCACTCCACCTGAGAAACTTCTCACCCGAGATCTGGCCGCCCTCCAGACTGAACAGGACACAGGACATAGTCCGTCCTTGGGCACACGGAGCATGAGCCAACCAGTCACGGTCATGGGGCTCTGCTCAGGGAGTCTGCCCAGACTGTGAAGAGCAGCAAAGGAGGCCGAGGCGCACAGCAGCACCGCTAATAACTCAGTCACATCAGCGTCAGGTCTTCCTGCTGCTCCTGGAACATGCCAGGCCCACGCGCACTGCTGCCCCTGCCCCAGCTCGCCCGCCTGGCCTTTGAGGACCGTACTCAGCTGGCCCCCAGGGAGGCCTGCCGTCCTGTGTCCTGTCCCACGTTGGTCCCCACACAGCACTGACCACCATGTAACCACGGCTTCCTGTTCTTCCTCCCCTGCTGGTCTCCCTCCCCAGAACGCAAGTTCTCTGAGGATCACGACACAACATTGTCAGTTTTGTCCTCGGCTGCACCCCAGTGCCAAGGGCAGCGCCCTGCTGGGTACCCAGCAAGGATCTACCGAAGGGCTCCACAGATGCATCAGCACGGGTTGGAGGTACACACTGGGGTGCAAACACCCAGATGCAGCTGGACGAACACTGGAGGCTGGGGTGCAGGCAGAGACGTGTAGACAGCCTCTGGACTGGATATTGAGAGCAGTGAAATGGGGGGCAAGGGCGCTCTCAGAGCTCTACATCAGAATGCTCACCTAGTGAGGGAATGGACAGGCAGTCCACGTGGGAAATGAGGCCTGAGCTTCGAGGTGACAAGGATAGGAAGGGGGCGACGATCCCAGCTGCATCTGAGCACTAGGATGGGCAGCCCTTCAGGATAATGTTTATTCCATTCCTGATACCAAATGCTGGATGCAAACGCACCTCCTCAGCTCCCACGACAGATGGGGTGAGCCACAGTGGGGAGCCTCCTTTGTACCGCCAAGTCACCCACATCACCCACTGTTCCAATCTCAGGGTCACTGCCAAGGGCTCAGGCCTATAGGTCTCTCACCTGGCTGTCTAGGGGGACTGGGAGCTCTCTGCCCTCCCTCCGCCCGTGGGCCCCTGTGCAGGAGCAATCGTCACTCAGGGTCCCCAGGGGATCCCCAGGGCTGGGTGCCGCTGGCCCAGAGAGGTACCTTGATGATGTCCAGGCCCGGCTGCGGGTACTCCAAGACCGGGAGCTGCTCATCAATGTTCATCAAGCCAATTTCATCAGGGTCGGCCCCCTGGCTCACCAAGTAGACCACCTCCTGCAGCAAGCTTGTGCCTGGAGGGAGAGAAGCCCCAGGGAGTGGTGCTCAGAGGAAGCCCAACGGCCAGCCCCGCTCTCTAGGCAGCACCTGCTGCCCCAGAATAGGGCCTGAAGATGCGTAGGTTGATCACACACCTGGCCAGCCACCAAGTGCCACCACAGCCCTGCTGAGTAGGACAGCCCAGGGACAGGTGGGACACCCCACCAAGAGTGTCACCCCTGGGAGGAAGGTGGCTCCTGGTACCTCTGCTGGCCCCCGTGAGCAGACCCCACTCTGCCCAGGCTTTCGGCTCCAGGTCACCAGTGAGCCCAGGGCTATCCCATCATTACCCCACCTGACCTCTGGGAGAAACAGCTACGGCAGGCTAGTGCCTCTTCCTCAAGACTTTGGTCCTTTTACTCCAAGGATACTGGTCTGTCCGTAGTTCCTCATCTCCCCACCCTGAAACACTGACTGCCCCAAACACTGCCTCAGACCCCTGCTCTCCTGGCTGCTTGCACTCCCCAGAGGGCCTCATACTGCGTCCCCCGGAAAGCCAGCTCCACCCTCCACCCAGCTGTCCACCCAGGAGCACCTGCCACCCCTTGCCCCACCGGGACCAGGCCTGCCCTTGCAACAAACGGCCAGCCTACGCGTGCCCTGATTGGGTCTACACCTCAGCAACCTCTGGATCTGCTGTCAAGGTGAGTGCAGAGCTGGCCCTTCCATCCCGGACCGCGCAGTGAGAGCCTCCCATAGTTCTCTGCTTCGGCCCAGCTCCCCCCACCCGTCAGTCTGGTTTCAACAAAGCAGATCCATCATTCCAACATGGGCGTCAGACGGCATTAGCTGGCATCCCTCGTCCACGACGACCATCCGCAGCGGCCTCACGTCTCCTCAGAGTAAGGTCTTCCCCACGGCCTGCAGGCCCTTCCTCCCTCCCACGGCCCTTCAGGTGAGGACTCCCCACCCCCCACACCATGCCAACTGGCCAGGAACAGCTGCACATTCCTTTACAGGCTCCTACTCTCCTACCGTAAAGCCTGGTTCTTTGCTGTACCGGGAGAGCCAGCACGTGGCTGTGCTCAGTTCCTGTTTTCTGAAGCAAACCTTGGGTGCTGAGTAATCAGAAGAAGATAACTTGATCCAGGAAGACTTCCTGGAGGAAGCAGCTTTGGAGCAAAGGCACTGAAGAAAATAGTGTAATGGTTTTTAAAATTCAAACAGAAATAACTTTACCTGTTACCCACAGGATCCTCCCACCAGCCTGAAAGGTGGAGACTGTGATCACCCCCATTTACAGATGAGAAGCCCGAGGCCAAGCTGTGCCCCAGGTCACACGGCCAGTGTGTGGCTTCCACCCTATTCCTCCTGGGGAGGTCCACTCACCCAACAGCCCAGGGCACCTGCACTGGGGAGCCCATGCCCCCCGAAATCAGTGTGTAGGCAGAGTCCCTGGCCTGTCTGGCGACATCCTCAGGACCTATTTCTAGTGCTCCCTGCCCCCACAGGCAATGCCCCCAGACAGACACCCTGCACATTAACATCATCTCACATCAACGTATCAATTCCACAAGCCCCATCCTCATCTCCACTAAGTACTTACGCCAGAAGACCAGCCTCGTTAGAGCCCAAGGAAGCTCTCCCCTGGCCTCCCCACTGGCCTGTCCCCACCGGCCCCGTCCAGCACGTCCACTTCCTGCTCAAGCAACTCGGCCTGGCCTTCCCGTCTTCAGCATAAGCTACTGGAGGGCCTGCTGCATGCCTCTGGCCCCCGGGCAGCCAACAGGGCACACAGGACGAGTGCGGCGAGCAGCCCCTGGCCTCTCCAGGGCGGAAGCCAGCTGGCAAGATGTGACGACATGTTCACAGGAAAAAACCAGCCAGAGATGATGATGACAATGACACTGGTGGGTCACCATAACCAAAGACCAAACACAGGCTGCGCTGTCCACGGGGTCTGCACCAGGTGCCAGCTGCACCCATGCCTCTCCCCTCCACGTCCACTGCCACCACCCTGGCGGTGCCCCAGACGACAGCATGAGCCCAGCTGGTCCCTCTCCCGGCATCCTTGGCTGCGGCGACCCCTCCACCTGCTGTGTCCCGGAGGCTCTCGGCCCCCTCCTCTCTCTCCACCCCTCTGGCACTCTGGGCTGTGGCCAGGTCTCCCATCTCCCCCAGAACTCAGCACCCCGTGGCCCAAGCCTTCAACAGGCCGTCCTCCTGCCTCCAACCTGGATGTGATCTTGGAGCCGCAGCTCCCAGAAGCCTTCCCAGGCACCCCGTCTCATCTGTGCCCCGCCAACCACACCCCCTGCCTCTTGTCCTACTGCATTTGATGCACTGGGCATGAGCTTGTGAGGACAGAGAAGGCGTCTTGGTGCTTATGGCTGCTGCGGCTTCCAACAACAGCTACCGCCCCACAACTCTGGAGGCCAGAGGCCAACACAGGCCACGCGGGGCTCAAATCAGGGTGTGGGCACCACTGCTCCCCTCCGGAGGCTGCAGGGGCAATTCCTTGTCTTGCCTGCAGCTGTAGCCACACTGATCGCCCTGCCACCTTCCTCCTCTGGCAGGAAACCCCGTGAGCACACCCAGGATAACCTCCCATCCGAACGCAGCCTCCAGCCTCCTCAGCACAAAAGGTGAAATACTCACAGGTTGGAGCATTAGGACGTGGACATGTCTGGAGGCCATTACTCTACTGACCATACTCACATCACAATCCTAACGTGGTAGGTGCTTGGAAGCCCATGGGCCTGACAACTGAATGAGACTCTAGAGTCTCTCCCACCCCACCTGGGAAACAGGACTGGTCGTGCGTGCTTGTGTCTGTGACCTCCTACAACTTCCACACATCCTCGGCACCCAGTCAGCCTTCCCCTGTCTGAGCCCTTCCCACCCTGGGCACCCCAGCTCCCTGCCCAGCTGTTGGGACACCCCCACTCAGTGGAGCCATGTGTCTCCTACATGGCAATTAGGTCAAAGTCCTCACTTAGGATCTGGTGGCCATTCAAGGGGTAACCCCCACCCTCCCCTTTATTCATTTAACAAGCCTGCACCAAGGGCTGGCCCTGGGGTCCCTGCTCCCCCACCAGAACATGTGGCAATGCTCCCCACTTCTTCACAGGCTGTTGAGCACAGGGCCACGAAGTGACCTGCTCCGAGCCAAAGAGGCTCAATACAAATGAGAATCTCTCCGAGCTACTAACGCCGTGACAGGCTCCACTAACCAGAACCACCCACACTCGAGGATACAGCACAGCCTCCTGCCAACCCAGCCCACCCTCATCCCAACAAGGGACACAAGCCGTCAGGCCCTTCCTGTCAAAGCCACGTCCTGAGCAACACGTGACATGGGGGGCAGCTCCTGCACAACTCAGGAGGAGGGTTTAGGAGCACCCCTTACACCAATAAGGCCACAGAATCTCAGAGTTTAGGTTACTAGCCTGAAGTCACTGAGCTGGGAAGGGGAGTGCTCCTCTGGAGTGGGGGACCCAAGTGTGGAAGTCCCCACCTGTCCCCCACCCCCGGGGACCTCTGAGCATGCCCAGTGGACATAAGGGCAGAGAAGCCAGCCCCGTGTGAACCCACCACGTAGCCTGCAGGGAAATGAGGGTGAGGAGGTGCTGCAGGGGCTGCATCCAGGCCAGAAGGCCCTCTACTCCTGCAGCCACTGAGCCAAGCAAATGGGAGTGAGGTGGGACCCAGCACCCCCAACTGTCCCACGGCAGCGGGAGGCCAGTGGGGGAGGCGGGCGCAGGAGGAACCCAGCAGCAGGAGCCAGCCTGACTGCCGGCAAACCCAAGGTGAGGCAGAGAAGAGCCAGGCTTTCAAACCTGGGCCCGGGATGGCAGCAGGGCAGCGCTGCCTTCCTGCGGAATAACGCCTCGCGCTTTCCAAATCCACTGGACATGATCCTTTCTGGAAGCGCTTCTGCTGACTCCAGCCAGATCCCTGCTCCCACGGGCAGGGGCAGTGCCTTCTGACCCTGGGATGCTGGGTCCAGACCACTCGGAAGCCAGTGGCATTCTGGGTGGAACTCCCCAAAAATCAGTCCTGCCTCATCACAAGTGGGGAGAGCCCATTAAAATTCCCACCAGAACGCTGGGGGCAGAAGGAACCACTCACTCCTCCAGGGCCAGGACCAATCGGAACTGGGCCCCAAACCACCGGGATCCTGGGGCTGAAACCCTGTGGCATTCTTTTATTTTCACTGTTATCGTTTACTAAAGAAAGTCACACACGTACCTTGTTTAAAAACTCACAGAGCACTAGCAGGTGAGGAACGGAAAACCCCGTTCTCCTCCCCACCCCCAATCCGGCGCAGAGCAAACCACTGGTTGATTCTTCTCTTACCCTCAATTTTCTGATGTGCTTAGATCTTTCACAATCTTTTTTTTTTAAAGATTTTACTTATTTATTTATTTATTCATTCATTCATTCAGACACAAAGAGAGAGGGAGAGAAAGAGGCAGAGACAGGCAGAGGGAGAAGCAGGCTCCACGCAGGGAGCCCGACGTGGGACTCGATCCGGGGATCCCGGGATCACATCCTGGGCTGAAGGTGGTGCTAAACCACTGAGCCACCCGGGCTGCCCATTCTTTCACAATTTACACAGTTTCCACGGGCTACTGATTTTCAACAGAGGAAGACAAGGACTTGGCCAGGTTCACTCACAGGAGCTTCCCTCCTCCCAGCGCAGGCCCAGCAGGAGCGTGGTCTTACCTGGGCATTTACCGCATGTTCTGCTCCACAGTAGTCCACGCAGCGATGGCACTTACCTTCTCGGCCGAGACTTCATTCTCCTAGAGTAAATCACTGCTCGTCTGCTTGCTTCCTTTGCCTTGTGGCCACTCGCAATCCTGTCCCCGGCTGCAGCAAGGCCTCTGGATGCTCTCAGTCCCACGGGTGACCCGGGGTCTCCTCGGGCTGGATGCGGCCACTCCCCAGGCCCCTGGCTGGGGTCTCCCATGCGCTGCGGAGCCCACCCTCTCGCTGTGTCCCAAGCATGGGCCTGACCAGGACGAGCATC